TTACGAGGCAACTGTTCTGGCAGAATCGTAAATACAGGTCGTTTTAGAATCGAGATAATTGCACGATAATTTTCTACAACTAGAAGAAATAAGATTACACGTGAAACAGTGTAAAAATACCTTTTAAAGCCTTAACTGATTTGATATATAATTTTTTCAAAGCGAAAGAACTTTCTCCTACACAATCATTTTTATTTTATATTTTATATCAACGTATATTTCTGTATCACCCTGTACATATAGCCGCACGCATGGCCAGAATTTTGAAGCGTCCTGTACTGCTTTCTCTGATCAGTGCTAAAAAGAGAAACCTGTGAAATGCATACGAGGTCGCCGGCATAAAATCGTGGTTAACTTAAAAACCAAATATTTATAAACGTTCATCGGTCATTAATATCGATTGTTTACGCGCGCGGGAGAGCTGCAAGACATCCTCAATTCGTGGAATTATTCATGAATCTAACCAACAGCTTAATTTTTAACAATCAATTAAACACCTTATGCAAATTAATTTAACATCAATATTTCAGAACTGTAGTGTGTGCGCCGGATGTAGGACAGAGTACCGGAAGAGGACGAGTTCTGAGAATAATTGTTTCAGCGCAAAATCGACCGTGACTCACGACGACATTAAGTCACGCATCCTACGTAAATCCTGCGATTCATTATATACAACTGACATGGTGACATCATCAATTTTCCCTTAGAAAAACACGTTAAAAAAAGACCGTCATAAATCAATATTTGATACGATCTTGCATCACTGCCAAAAATAAATGTCAAAACGTTCCGCACCGATTCTGGCGCGAAAATAAAGAATATTAAATATATATAAATCATCTTTTGCATATCGTTGAATTGTGAAAGAGCTCTGCTTCGTTTAGCTCTTAGAAGCTCATAGAAATAATTAATATTAATTCTTGGAGCTATATATGATATAATTTTATATATAAAATTGTAAGAGGGGAGTCTAGAAATCTATAAACTATAACTTGTCACTTTACTAATATCAGTTAATGGATTATTGTAAATAATTATATAAAGAAATAATTTCATGTATAACTCTACATATGTAAAATTGTAAAACGAAAGTCTAAAGATCTACAAACTTGTCATTTTCACTAATATCAACTGATAATTTATTGTAAAGTTATATGAGGAATAATTTCATATATAATTCTATATATGCAAAATTGTAAACGGAAAGTCTAAAGATCTATAAACTTGTCATTTTCACTAATATCAATTGATAGATTATTGTAAAGTTATATATGGAATAATTTCATGTATAACTCTACATGTGTAAAATTGTAAAACGAAAGTCTAAAGATCTACAAACTTGTCATTTTCACTAATATCAACTGATAATTTATTGTAAAGTTATATAAGGAATAATTTCATATATAACTCTACATATGCAAAATTGTAAAACGAAAGTCTAAAGATCTCACAAACTTGTCATTTCAATAATATCAATTGATAGATTATTGTAAAGTTATATAAGGAATAATAATGTTCATATATAACTTTATATATAAAATTATAAAAGGAAAGTCTAAAAATCTCATAGAGATCTATAACTTGTCATTTTATTAATATCAGTTTGATTATCATGCAAACAGACCCAGATAATATACCGTTCGTTGATAAAATAAATTTTGACAAGTATGACAGTCTAGTGAAACGATCTAATATTTCAATTCGTGTAGAATTCCTCGCAATTCTTTCCTTGATCTTTGCACTATGTTCCAATTACTCCCTCCTGCGACATAAAACGCAACACTGTCTGATAACAGATCGTTCCAATTAATTGTTTACCGGATTCTTGCATTATCGTGGTCTCGAAACGAAGGTTATCACACAGTTGTTCGAATCTGGTTATTTTCTTTGAATATATATATATATATATATAACCTGTGACACCAGTCACTCAGATTCCCGGCCCCTTTCACGATAATTGCTAAGAAATGCAAGTCGCACGTTCCCCCGACCGCACTTTCACCGAAACTTTTTTGCTCGGCCCTTTCAACGAGCACGCTTTTAATCGTCCATACGTGGAAATGCATGAAGAGACGAATTCTTTCATTCATTCGTTCTTCTGCTGATCGAGTGAGGCAACACGCTGATGAATCTCGTTAGTTCTTTTTCTTTCTGCGAGACGGCGTAAGCGACGTGGAATTACGAATACAGGCAAGTACAAACTGTTGGAACATTACATACAGAATCACTCCAAATCAAAATCAAATAACTAATGTAAAATTTTGCAACAAAATAGGATAACAAGACTGAAAGTCAAAGATTTGAAGTTCAAAAATCTTTCTGTTTTCTTATTCTATGCCACAAGTAGAAGGATACGCAGAAAGAAAGATTTTCTCACAAAATAGATATCCCTTGCGAGAAATGGGCAAGTTGAATTTCGCGGGTTCCAAGTTCCCTAGAGCTCTGGGGGCCAACTCAGTAGTAGCCGAGTAGACTCGAGTTTTGCTAATCTCTGTTAATCTCGGATTCCAGTTCGTGGCTGATTGAAAATTGACGCGATTGTAAATCGCTGGTTCGGCGAGGGAAAAGTATCAGAGAAGAAGTGTCACCGACTTTGTACACAGGCCTGGAGGCGTCGGCCCAAGGTGTGGACAGGCTCGTAAAAGCGGTTCTTCGTTGCGGAACCAGCGTCTAACGTGAAATGATCGGCACACGAGCAACGTATGTGCCCCGTCTGGTTTCATTTCACATCTGCGGGGCTCACGGTCTAGCAAGTTTCGCCTCGGTCGCTGACCCTTCCTTCCCTCTTTCTCTCCCTCTGTCTCTCCTCTTTCGCTCCTTTGATCCTGCCTTCAGTTTTATCCCTCTTCCAGGGATCTCCCTCCTCCCTTCCTCCTCCTCTGGTCACTCTTTGATTGTACCCTTCGATTTCGATCCCTTTCGTTTATCCGTCCTCGCACGGCCCCTCTGTTCCAACGAGAGCGCTCAAAAATACTTCTCGATGGTTCTAACATCGTCCGGAAGAAATGTGCAAAAATAGAATCCGAAACGAAAGCTACTCCAATATTTTAATCATTTTAGTGACAGTAATATTTAACAATCCCGAGTTCTATTATAATATTTCTTGGCTCAAAAATCCTTGACACTGCTGATAAACCACCAATCCAATTTTTTCAGCAAAGAATATATGTATAATTATACAATTCATACACTTGTACAATTAATTGTTTAATCAAAAGCGCTGCAGCTCGTCTGACAGCTTGTTTGACAATTCGCGTAGAATCCAATTGACCTCTTCATTTATAGTCATCTTTTATAACTTCTAGGGATTTCACAGGTCCCTAGAACATCCCTTGTGTCTATTTTTATTGTACATATCTATTTTATGTTTTTATCGTGTCTATTTCATGTTTTTATTGCCGGCTTTCTTTACATAAATGGACACCTACTAAATAATTAAATTAACTGCTAATAAATAAACTCATAATTGCTAAATAAACACCCTACTAAATAATTAAATTAACTGCTAATAAACCCTACTAAATAATTAAATTAACTTCTAATAAATAAACCCTACTAAATAATTAAATTAACTGCTAATAAATAAACCCTACTAAATAATTAAATTAACTGCTAATAAATAAACTCGATGAAGTACGATTTTAAGACGAAAATTACTAATAACCTTTCAGAACTCCTTCTTCCTCAGACTGTATACCTACGTTGGTCCTTGGCTCTCCTTGAGACTGGACACTTAAGAAATATAAGCCTCGTGGCTGTTTTAAGTTGCAAGGGGGAGGAGGGGACTATGGTTTCTCAGAATGGCCCGAGGATACCTCCCTAATTACCGTCGGCTCGGATTCTTTCGGTCATGGGAACAGCCCCTAGCCGGTCCGCGTCTTAGACGCAGTTATCTTGTTCCAGAACCTTGGAAACATAGTTGGAGAACGCTGCGCGAGAATTATACCCTCCAACTCTTCTCTTTATTTAGTTAATTTACATTTTTATCAACTCTGAAATTTCGTATCTTTCAATCAATTCTTCCTCTGATTTTCTCTTTCTTTTTTTTTTTTTTTTTTTCGTTCTGAATATATTTGAACTCTCTTCGAGTCTTTTCTTCTTCTTTTCGACGAAAGTTTCGCAATTTATCCTGTCGGTATTACAGAGAATTTTCTGGAAGTTCACTCGAAACAAGAGTGAAATACTAGAGATACAGGAAAAACTCGAAGAGAAATTAAAAATTAAAATTAAAAAAAAAAA